TTTGTCATTTGATAAAAATAAAAAAGCAGGTGTTTTTTGTTGTTGTTTTTCCATCTCCACTATTGTTTTTATAATGAGCATGCTGCTGATATGCAGTGTTAGCTAAATCACGTGACGAATTTGTACGGTGTTGTTGTGCATATTTTGTAGGAGTTTTGAAATACACTCGAGAAAAAAAAAACATTTTATAGATTTTACATAAAAGTCATCTCTCAAGGGTTACAATAACTTAAAGATACTTTGAAGGTAGTTCAGGAGTAGAAATATCTTGTATTCTTCTGCACAGGCAGTAGCCCTCTTTTTCTCCTACACAGGTTTTCCACAAAGATATAAAGAAATACTTTGTCATCCATACTGAAAGGAGACCACTGGCTCTTCTGCATAGAAATAGTAGACTACTTGCTCTTTTGTAAAGAGAGAGAAGTCGTTTGATCTTCTATACGTAGATAGGAGTCAACATGTTATTTTTTTTATAGAAAACAGAACACTTTCTCTTCAATTCTTAGAAAAAATCCCTTGGCTTCCTATCCAGAGAAAATATAACTTTTTTAAAAATACGCTTTTTTATGCGTTTTCACATTTTCAAAAGGCTTTTTGCTTTCAAATAGTGACACCTTACTTGGCAAACTATACCGGGTGAAGTCCACTTGGTCATCTATAACAATGTTGTGCAAAAACTAAATTAAGAGTGAGCGTATCTGAGAACTCACCATCAAAATTCGCTCACGAAAAGAGAGTAAAGAGAATAAGCGTATAACCAGTGCCGGTGTGATACGTTTTGCACATCAATGATCTATGAAAAATCACTTGGGCTTCTACGTTGAGAGAAAGAACATGGTTCTTATATGTAGAGACAACTTTCTCTTCCGTAAAGAGAGAGAATATCATTTGATCTTCTATACAGAGATAGGAGACAACTTTTTCTTTTAAATAGAGTGAACTGATAATTTACACAATATACAAAGAGCAGAGATCATTCGTTTTTCTATGCAGAGAGAACATCCCTTGGATTTCTATCCTGAGAAAATATCACTTGATCATCTATGCCGAGTGAAGACCATTTGGACTTCTACGCCCATTTGGTGCACAATTAATTTGAAATCCGATAAAGATATGTATGGGAGCTATCTCCAAACCGGAACCGATCTTGATAAAATTTGGCAAAGATATTTCTGAGCTGTATTTCTTATATTTCCCTGAATTTCGTTGTTACGGAGTGCATATTACGGCTGTGGGTAACAAATATAAAAAATCGAATAAACAGTATATATGGGAGCCATAGCTATATCTGAACCGATCTTCAACAAATTTGGCACCTAGCTTCTAGACTCAATTCGGTCGTAAGTGCCAAATTCCATCCCATTTGGACAAATAGTATACGTTTGGTGCACAATAAAAAGTAAATCGGACGAAGTTATATATGGGAGCTATATACAAATCTGAACCGACCTCGATAAAATTTATTAAATGTCTATCTGAACTGTATTTGATATATTTCCCCAAATATTGTTATTACAGAGTGCATATTACGGCTGCGGAGGACAAAAATAACAAATCGGATGAACAATATATATGGGAGCTATAGCTATATCTGAACCGATTTCGATCAAATTTGGCATACTTATTTTCAGGCTTAATTTGGTTGTATGTGCAAAATTCCATACTATTCGGGCTGATATTACACGTTTGATGCACAATAAAAGGCAAATCGGAAGAAGATATATATGGGAGCTATATCTAAATTTTGACCGATTATCTCCAATTTCAATAGGGTTCGTCCTTGGGCCAAACAAATGATTTGTGCAAAATTTCATCTGGATAGGTCAATAAATGCGAACTGTACTTTGTTTACAAAAATACATGGACAGATGGACGGACGGACGGACGGACATGCATAAATCGACTCAGAATGTGATTCTATGCAGATCATCAAAAGGAACTATGGGTCTATCTCGTTTCCTTTTGCTTGTTACAAACAAATGCACAAAGACATAATATCCCGACCACCTTGTGGTGTAGGGTATACAAATGAGCTCGTGGTAAAGCCATTGAAAATCTAAAAAGTGCAAGAACTTACACCGCAGCGGAAAAAAATAGACTCAAAGGAGGTAAAGAGTTGCTTCGCTTGGCCGAAAGTGGTGAACTGTCGAATTTGGTTTTCTCTGATGAGAAAACATTCGTTGTTCAGCAGTTTGTAAACAATCAAAATGATCGTGTTTACTTGTCAAAGAGGGCAGCTGAAAATGTGCACCTTCGGTTGGACACTAGAACTCAAGCGCCGGCCATGGTGATGGTGTGGGCCGCCATAATAGCCGATGGTCGCTCTCCGCTGGTATTAATCGATCGTGGCATCAGAATAAATGACGAATATTATCGTGAAAATATTCTGGAGGGTGTATTAAAGCCTTGGGCACGCAAACATTTTGGCCGCAGACCTTGGAAATTCCAACAGGACTCAACACCATCGCACTCAGCACGCGCCAATCAAGAATGGTTACACCATGGGGTTTCTCGCTTCATTTCCAGCGCACAATGGCCACCAAAACCTCCGGATACCCATCCGTTGGTCTATTGTGTCTGGGGTATTTTGGAAAGCAAGGTTGACACTAAAAATACCAAGGTGTCGATCACCTCAAGCAAGCGCTTCGCCGGGAATGGGCCAAAATACCGCAGAGCAACATTCGGGCAGCGTGTGACGGTTTCATTGGCCGTTTGAAGGCCATAATTCGTGCTAAAGGTGACCAATTCGAACAAATCTATATATAGAAGACCATTGTCCCTACCCTCTTTAAGGTCTTTCTGTCATAGAAGAGCTCTTCGAGGTTTTCCAAATATATAATGATTATTCCCAACATGGAATACCTAGGGAAGGTCTTACATCCATAAAAGACTTCGTGGAGATCTTTTGGAGGTCTTACGACCATAAAAGACCCTTGAGAGTAGAGAGAAGTCCTCCTGGAAGCCTTTTGAAGGTCCTTTCATTCAAAGAAGACCTCCTGGAGCTCTTCCATCTACAGTGCAGTTTTTTTTGAAAAGAATACCTCGCGACGCCTTTAATATATAGAATGTCTTTGGCTTGTCTTTATTCCTTACATAGAAAAGCTTGCTAGTTCTTCTATGATTAAAAGAGTTCTTGGAGACCTTTCCGATATTGAAGGTCTAAAGAAGATATTCATGAACTATTCAATTCCCCACACCTATGACGTGGTGGTAAATTTTACAAAAAAGGTTAAACATATTTTTGGATAATTATTTGTTTTATACGCATAAGCCTATATATTTTAAATTTCAAGGTGCAAGAAAAAACATATTATTTAATTTCAACAAAACAGGTACTTTTATTTGTCGGAATAGAAAAGAGAATTTGAAAAAAAAAATGTGAAGAGAAGATAAAATTTACCACCGCCTGGTTGGTTAAAGGTGAAAAGCTTATTGGAGTACAAGGGATCTCCCATACAGAGAAGGCATCTAAGAAGTTCTCCATGTATGGACGAGGTCATGGAGGTCCTTAACATTGTTCATATGTTGAAGATTGCATTGATGACTTTATTGCTTTTTTCCATTTTCTTTGTCTTATATACAAAGAAGACCTTGAGCAGATCTGGCAAATAAAAATTGAAATTGACCGGTCAAATGAACAAAATAAGAAATAAATCTTCTAAAAAAATTTACATGGTGGGGTGCTATATTTCTAAGTCGCTCCCCTTCCCCTATTTCAACGATACTGCTTTAGGTCACTTCAAAAATGACATGAATGAATAGTGCATAAATATTTTAACAAAATATTCGTTAAAATTATTTTAACTATTTGACGTCATTTTAAAGCTGGCCAAACTTGTTATCAACTCCCCCTTCCCCCTATTAGCAGAAAATTAGCCCCTAACACGCTTGTCTCCAGAGTCCGGCATATTTATGAAAATTCATCCGCAACAACGTTGTTTATTTATGTTGCATTATTGATTAATGATTATTTGAAAGTGTTACAAAGATTTATAATTGTTTATTGAAAAAAAGCAAAAAAATAATAAAACATTAACATATTTAACAAAACAAAATTAAATAAAATATGTTAATAATATACCAGCATACCAATATACATATGTATAACACAGGTTATGCCCATCGATGACAGCAAATGACCGGCAACCGCAATACCAAAAACCAACAACAACAACATGTTGTGAATGATAAATAAATTATTTTGTTATTTGTAGTTGTGGTCTGGTCTGGCCCTTTTTGTTATTGTTCGCCTGTCCGTCTGTCTGTCGTTTGTCAGCCGGTCTAGTCAATCTCAGTTATCGGTTTGCTGGTCCATCAACATGCTAATGATAATGGCTATGAAGTTGTTTACCATAAAAAAGTATTAACCTTTTTGCCATGCCTCCCTCCCTGCCCCGCGTGGCTTTGTTTACAGCATCACAACAATGGCAGTTGTTAAATGACTCGACATACTCGACTCCATAAAATGTTGATATTCACGATTTATTTGTTTCTTCGCCGTAATTCCGGTGTTTAGGAATCTTATGAAGATTTTTTTGCATAGTTTTATTGGCTAGAGATTTAACTCCTCAGGGTTGTGATGTTTTGTGTGACAATGCGCATCAATGATTTAAAATTAAATTAAACAATAATATAATAGCCAAATTAAATGTGTTAATGTGTGAATTACTTTTAAGAGTGGAGTGATGCCACTATAAAACATATGTATGCGTATCTGTATGTGTCTTAGCTCAAATTGAATGTTTTTGGGTAATTTGAGAATTTCTAGGCCAAATTTTTAGAATATTTAAATTTAGTTTTTAGCAGATGTTGGCTTATATTCCAAGAATTATTTTTATTTAAAGGCATGAGATATTTTGTGCCAATTATTTGGGCCTTGAATGAGAAAAAGAATAAGGATTTAAAGATTAAGACAAATTAGTACAAAATACAAATACCCTCCTCCTTCTCCCATTGTTTTGTATTCCTCTCATAACATTATTTTTTCTTCATATTTACAGCTACAACAAATATACCGTGCTCCACGATAAAGATGGCGCCTTCCAATATATGGTCGAATTGCAGACCCAAGATGTTGATTTGGATTTCTGGTTGTTATCACGCAACATGTCAATTGTATCGGTTAGTCCTGTCATGCAACCGATTTTTGAGCAAAGACTCAACGAATTGGGTGTCTCGTATCAAGCCAAACCACTGATGGAAGAAATGAAATCGTTCAATGAAACCATAACTGGATGTGTGGGCAGTGAATGTGAACACAGCCGTACACGAAGACAGGCTAGAGGATTCTTTACCCACTTCCCCAGATACTCAGAGGTAAGATTTTGAATTATTATTTTCTTCTTTTTAATTACTTTAACTTATGCTCTAGCTAGAATATCACTAATGGATCTCCTAGGAGTCTTTTTAAACGACTTTTATTGAATGAATACCTCTTACCAGGTCTTCCACCTTTCGAAGGTATTGTTTAAATAAACTTCTTCGTTTGATAGAAAACCTTCAAAATACTTCTTATAAGCAGGCGACCTCCAAAAGTCTCCTAACGATTTTCTATAGCTAGAATACCTTTAAAATGTATTATCCAGCTCATCGATGAATTTGTAAGGATGTCTATAGACACCGAAATTCTCTGAGAGGCATTATTCAGACATATGACCTGGAAATAATCTTCAATGGGTAACGATATCTCTTCTTTAAAGTTCTTTATAAATACTTTCGAAATGTCTTTTATATAGAATACCACATGCAGGTTTTCTAGACAGAAGATCCTCAGAAGGCCTTCGAAAGATAGATACATATTCTTCATTGTGTAACAAACTTCTTCAAAGAAACTTTCGAAATGTCTTTTATATAGAATGCCACATGCAGGTTTTTGGAAAGAAAATCCTCCAAAAGCTTTAGAAAGATAGATAGTAGAAGGGAATCCTAAGGGACTAATATTAAATGAATCCCTTATAAAGACTTCTGTTAAGAGTAAAACCCCAATAAATCTTATGTTTATATGTGAATTTCTAGGGTATATGGCCTATATAGGACTATCTTCTATAAAAAGGAGGTTCTAGAGGTTGTCTCAAGGCATTAAATTAAAAAATACAACCACCAAAGTATAGGGAGAACATCTCCGGAAGGAAGAAAGCTCCTGAAACTCTGCAATACAAAGAAGAAAATTTTGAGGGTATTTTATAGAGAGAGAGAGTACTTCTCAAATGTTTTCCACAGGCAAACATCTCTTAAAAGTCTTCCATAGAAAGAAGACCTCTTCCATATCTTCCGTAGTAAGAAACCCTACATAAGACATTCTATACCAAAATAGGTCTGAAAAGTCTTTTACAGAAAGAAGGACCCTTAAAGCTCCTCTACTGATAGAAGACCTCCTAGAGATTATATATAAGACATCATAAAACAATTCTCTATATAAAGATCGATTTTTTAGCTATTATCAATTTGATAAAGCTGAAATCCTGAAATTTGATCTGGATGTCACTGTTGGTAGTTGTAGTTAAGATATGGAGGTGGTTTTGGAAATGCGTCCTAACTGACTCTAAATATAGTGTTGGGTGAAGGGATAGTGCTGAAATCTTAAAAATTAGTATTAAGGTCTCTGTTGGTATTTGGAATTGAGATATGGAGGTGGTATTGGAAATGTGTATATAATTCCAGCTATATTCTTTCACCCAATAACAAATTCAGTACTTTTCGTACAATTATACACACTTTCTGAATTCCAAATACCAACAGTGACCTCAATATCAAATTTCAGGATTCTTGCCCTATCACTTCACCCAATACTATATTTAGTACCATTTAGTACTTTTAGTACAAATATAGGACGCAATTTCAAAACACCACCAAATCTCAAACACAGATACCATCAGTAACCTAAATATAAAATTTCAGGATTTCTGCTTTTTTCCTTTACCCAAATGTCTTTATACCAAATATAGTACAATTCAGTACTTTTCGAACAGTGATATCTACATCAAATTTCATGATTTCAGCTGTATTCCATCATCCAATACGAAGTTTAGTACTAGTTAGTACTTTTCGTACAATTATAGCACACATTTCTAAAACCACCTCTGTATCTTAATTCCAGATACCTATCCCTTCACCAAATACAAAAATTTAGTACCATTTAGTACTGTTCGTACAAACATAGAACGCAATTCCAAGCCACCATCAAATCTCAAACACAGATACCACTTGTAATCTAAATATCAAATTTTAGGATTTCAGCTTTATTCCTTCACCAAATACCAAAAGTAGTACCATTTTGTACTTTTCGTACAATTATATTACATATTACCAAAAACACCTCAATATGCCCAGCGCCTCCAATACCAAATTTCACATTTCAAGCACCAATGGCAAATTGTACTAAATATAGTACTTTTTGTGCACTTGTAGGACACATTTCAACAACCACCGGTTTATCACAAACCAACCACCAACAGAGTCCGCAATACTAAATTTCAAGATTCCAACTTCATTCGTTCACCCTAAATCAAACTGTTCCAAATTTTGTACCATTTAGTACAGTTCACACACTTGGTACAAATTATCCAAACTTCTTTCATATATCGAACTTAGATTCTTGATTCTCATACAAAATATAAAGATTTTATCTGTATCTGTATTGAAATGCATCCTTAAAAAATGTGCAGTAAAATCGCAATCTCCCTTCACATTTTATACCCTCCACCATACATAGTAGGAGAGTATATTAAGTTCGGCATTCCATTTGTAACTCATCGAAATTATAAATGTAGACCTAACAAAGTATATACAGGATAAAAAACTGCAACCGATTTCAGACTGTTGTCATTTCTAAGCCACTCGTCCGACGTCCGATTCTGCACTACATTAGTGACTCTCATCCCAAAGTTCAGAATTCTAGGCTATTACTTTTGTCCAATACAAAGTATTTCATTTATAGTAAATTTTAGTACTTTTCGAACCCTTTGTACTTTGAATTTCAAAAAACCCAGCCTAATCACACGTCTATGGACCGAATCTGACCCTCGCACAAAGTTGAAGGATTATGGCTTTAGATGTTTCGTCTGGCCGTTGATTCTCATTCGGTCAGTTATTATACTCTCCACCATTCTATGGAGGTTATATTAGCTTTGTCATTCCGTTTGTAACTCCAAGAAATGCTCAAGATAAACCCTACAAAGTATATTCTGGATCATTGTAAAATTCTAAATCGATAAGTGTGCGTCTGCCTCTCTGTCCGTCTCTCTGTCTGTTGTAATCAAGCTATCTTTCGAATGCATTGAGATAGAAGGCTAAAATTTTGCACACGTGTATATTTTGCTAGTAGGCAGGTTAAATTGTAAATGGATTGTGACGATTAACGTTTTCGTATAGCTCCCATATAACGGAACCTTCCGATTTTCGTTATTTTTATGATTTTGGCGACATTATTCACCGGAATTGTTTCAAATTTCGTATTTACAGTTTCCGATAAAAAATTTTCGTATGCAGGTCCACCTTTTCGTATAGCCCCCATATAACGATAACTCCATTTATTAGGTATTTTGATATTGATATTCTTGATATTTTGATTTTAGCGACATTATTCACCCGAATTGTTTAAATTTTCGTATTTGAAGATCAGGCTAGGATAAAACAGTTTTCATTTAAGTGTTATTTTTCGGAATTTCGAGGATATTAAAAGTTCGGCCCGTCTGAAGTTAGCTATTTTTTTATGTTTATAGATTTTAGAAGATTTAGATCTGTCTATGGGACCGTGGTACAAAATTTCGTACTATTTAGTACCTATCAATAAACTCCCTCTTACCATCTTATTAATAATAGACACGCCATATTTATACCCTACACCACAAGGTGGTCAGGGTATTATGTTTTTGTGCATTTGTTTATAACAGGCAAAAGGAAACGAGATAGACTCATAGTTCCTTTTGATGATCTGCATAGAATCACATTCTGAGTCGATTTATGCATGTCCGTCCGTCCGTCTGTCCGTCTGTCCATGTATTTTTGTAAACAAAGTACAGGCCGCATTTATTGCCCGATCCAGATGAAATTTTGCACAGATCATTTGTTTGGCCCAAGGACGAACCCTATCCTCAATCGGTCAAAATTTAGATATAGCTCCCATATATATCTTCGTCCGATTTGCCTTTTATTGTGCACCAAACGTCTAATATCAGCCCGAATTGTATGGAATTTTGCACATACACCCAAATTAGGCCTGAAAATATGTATGCCAAATTTGATCGAAATCGGTTTAGATATAGGTATAGCTCCCATATATATTGTTCATCCGATTTGTTATTTTTGTCCACCGCCGCCGTAATATGCCCTCTACAACAACAATATTTGGGGAAATATATCAAATACATCTCAGAAATACATTTGCTAAATTTTATCGAGATCGGTTCAGATTTGGTTATAGCTCCCATATATAACTTCGTCCGATTTACCTTTTATTGTGCACCAAACGTCTAATAATTGTCTAAATGGGATGGAATTTGGCACTTTCGACCGAATTGAGTCTAGAAGCTAGTATGTCAAATTTGGTGCAGATCGGTTCAGATATAGCTATAGCTTCCATATATATTATTCATCCGATTTGTTATATTTGTTACCCACAACCGTAATATGCACTCCGTAACAACGATATTCAGGGAAATATATCAAATACAGCTCAGAATTATCTTTGCCAAATTTTATCGATATCGGTTCCGATTTGGATATAGCTCTCATATATATTTTTATCCGATTTCAAATTAATTGTGCTCCAAATGGGCAATACAAGTCCGAATTTAAAAGATACAAATGCTTCGACATATTAGTCCTTTGAACTTTAAATTATATTTATATTCATAGCGTGTATGATTGAATTCTCCCATAAAAACTTTTAATTGTTATGTGGAGCTCTACTAAATTAGCAAAGTGGTGTAGGGTATCATAAGGTCGGCCCCACCCGACTTTAAGACTTTCTTTACTGGTTTCAATTTCATAATGGTACAAAATTGTGTACTTTTGAATTTCGTTAAGTACTAATTTCTAAAAACCTCCGTCTTATAAACAGCAATTGTAGCCTACAAATCTCTTAAGAATTACAAATTAGACACCCTTTTTGAACAGACACCGTATTTTAGATATGCTTTTCAAATGGAAATTCATTGTTCCTATTTCTTTTACAGATCCTGAGTTTCATGAACGGTTTGGCCGCTCGTTACCCACAGTATTGTCGCTATGAATCGTTGGGTCGTTCCTCCGAAGGACGTCATTTGGCCGCCCTGTCTATTTCGTTGAATAGTCGTGTGCGTCCTAGTCGTGTAGCCTATATGCAAGCTGGTGTTCATGGTCGTGAGTGGATTACTCCCCTGTCTGTGCTCTACTTTGCCAATGAAATGTTATCCAACATTCGGGCCTTCCAAAAGGTGCTCAACAATGTTGAGTTGTACTTGTTACCGTTGGCCAATCCCGATGGCTATGAATACACATTTACGACGGTAAGAATACCTTCTAATTCCTCTCTTTGCAAAATATTTATATTTCTCTTTTTTTCAGGATCGTTTCTGGCGCAAAAACAGACACCACTATCCCGGTCGTTCATGTGTTGGTGTGGATATCAATCGTAATTTCCCCAATAATTGGAATTTGCGTGGTGCCAGTCAAAATGTAATTGAAATTTAATAGATTTTAAAATAACATTGAAACAGAACTAACTGTATTTGTATTTCCAATCTCCTTTCAGCTTTGCTCTGAAGTCTTCTCGGGTACTTCACCTGCCTCAGAACCGGAAACATCGGCAATTTCACGTTATTTGCAATACAATCGCCATCGTGTAAAGCTTAGCTTGGATGTCCATTCATTTGGCAAATTCATTTTCTATCCCTACGGCTATGCCAGGTGAGCGGATTCATATTTTCTCCAGAGCGGAAAATGTTAATTAAACAATTATTTCCTGTCTTACAGAAATGCTTTTGCACCCACCCGCAGCTTCTTGCATCAGGTGGCGTTGCGTGCCAGCAGCCAGATTGCCAAATACCGTGGCACTTCGTACACTGTCGGTACTTCGGCAAATATTTTGTATGAGGCTTCCGGTGGCCTTGATGATTATGCTTACGGCAATTTGGGCATTCCCATGTCCTTTACTCTTGAGTTGCCAGGAGAGAATTTCCAAGTGGCATCGAATGACATTATCCACATATGCAAGGAGACCTTTGCTGGTTTTGTTGAGTTTGTACGTCATGTTAGTTTATTTTAAATAGGCTTCACATGGTGTGAAGCTGAGGAGCAATCTGGCTTGCCTACTTTAGATTTAGAGTATTTTAATGCTACATACAACGCAATTTTGCATTTTTTTTTCAAAAATTTTTATACTCATATTTTTTTTTAAGAAATTTGTATTATACACCAGTTATGTGTGTGTATGTTTGCATGTCAAATGAATTTAGTGAAATTTTAATTGTCATATCATAATTTAGTATTTAATTTAATTGTTAATTAATTTTAAATAAAATACAAAAAAAAAACAATAAGATGTTTTTTTTTTAATTTAAACGATGAGGTAAATTGAAAGGTGTGAATAACAGCCAATTGATGGAAAATCTTGTTAAAACTTTTAAATACCTAATCAGTAAGGTAAGATCAAAATGCGGGCGGGCTGACCATATGATACCCTACACCACTATGCGTATTTACTAGTGATTCCGTAAAAAAAGTTTATATTGGGAATGTATGTGAAGTAGATCATACCAATTATGAACTTTAGTTGAATGCGTATCATGGTTATAGAGTAATCTCAATTTGAGAACTTTGAAAGAGGCTTTTGTACATCTAGTATTTGTACTAGAGATACATAAGCCTCCTTCAGTATTGGTACTAGAGGTACAAAAGCCTCAATAAAATAACATTGCTGCATAGTGCATGATATGACTTCGATATTATATTAAAAACCAGAAAAAAAAGTCCTAAAGTCGGGCGGCTTTATGATACCCTATACCACTTTGCTAATTTAGTAGAGCTCCACATAACAATTAAAAGTTTTTATGGGAGAATTTAATCATACAAGCTATGATTATAATTATTATTTAAAGTTCAAAGGACTAAATATGCCGAAGCATTTGTATCTTTTAAATTCGGAATTGCATTGCCCATTTGTTGCATAATTAATTTGAAATCGGATAAAGATATATATGGGAGCTATATCCAAATCTGAACTGCTCTCGATAAAATTTGGCAAAGATATTTCTGAGCTGTATTTGATATATTTCTCTGAATATCGTTGTAACGGCGTGCATATTACGGCTGTGGGTAACAAATACAACAAATCGGATGAACAATATATGTGGGAGCTATAGCTATATCTGAACCGATCTTCACCAAATTTGACATTCTAGCTTCTAGACTCAAATCGGTCGCATGTGCCAAATTTCATCCCATTTGGGCAAATATTAGACGTTTGGTGCACAATAAAATGTAAATCGGACGAAGTTATGTATGGGAGCTATATCCAAATCCGACCCGATTTCGATAAAACTTAGCAAAGCTGCATTTGATATATTTCTCCAAATATTGTTATTACAGAGTGCATATTACGGCTGCGGAGGATAAAAATAACAAATCGGATGAACAACATATATGGGAGCTATAGCTATATCTGAACCGATATCGATCAAATTTGGCATACTTATTTTCAGGCCTAATTTGGTTGTATGTACAAAATTCTATACTATCCGGGCTGATATTACACGTTTGGTGAACGATAAAAGGAAAATCGGACGAAGATATACATAGGAGCTATATCTAAATTTTTACCGATTATCTCCAATTTCAATAGCGTTCGTCCTTGGGCCAAACAAATGTTGTTTGCAAAATTTCATCTTAATCGGATAATAAATGCGACCTGCATTTTGTTCACAAGAATACATGGACAGACGGACGGACTGACATGCATAAATCAGCTCAGAAAGTGATTCTATGCAGATCATCAAAAGGAACTATGGGTCTATCTCGTTTCCTTTTGCCTGTTACAAACAAATGCACAAAGACATAATACCCTGACCACCCTGTGGTGTAGGGTATAAATAGCAACCAATTTAAGACTGCTGTCAGTTCTAAGCCATTCGTCCGACAGCTGTTAAAATTATTCCAATGACAGCTCATTATATTGTTTATAAGCGCACAAAAGCACTTAGGTGAAAATTTTCCAGAAAAAAAGTTATTCCTGATGGAAATCAAGCGTGATAGTGTGATTTCTTTATATTTGGCTGGAAAACCACAAATGACTATCGTTAGAGCACTCCAGCATTTAAATGTAAATAAATCATTTGTGTCTCGTACCATCGCTCGTTGCCGTGATACTGGTAGCGTAGCTCGACGTCAAGGAAGTGGACGGAAGAAAACAGCAATACCAGCAGAAATGGTACGAAAAGTAAAGAAGCGACTTGATCGAAACCGGCGTCGCGGTGGCCGAGAAATGGCCCGTGAGCTGAACATATTGCAATATTCCATTCGGCAAATATTGAGAAATGAGCTCGGGCTAAAGCCATTGAAATTCCAAAAAGTGCAAGAAATTACACCGCAACAGAATGAAAATTGACTCAAAAGAGCTAAAGAGTTGCTTGGCTTGGACGAAAGTGATGAACTGCCGAATTTGGTTTTCTCCGATGAGAAAACATTCGTTGTCCAGCAGTTTGTAAACAAACAAAATTATAGTGTTTACTTGCCAAAGAGATCAGATGAAAATGTGCACCTTTGGTTGGCCACCAGAACTCAAGCGCCGGCCATGGTGATGGTGTGGGCCGTCATAACGGCCGATGGTCGCTCTCGTATTAATCGTCCGTGGCATCAGAATAAATGGAGAATATTATAGCGGAAATATTCTGGAGGGTGTATTAAAGCCTTAGGCATGCAAACATTTTGGCCACAGACCTTGGACATTCGAACCCGCCCAAGAATGATTACAAAATGAGGTTCCTCGCTTAATTTTCAGCGCAATGGCCACCAAAATCTCCGAACTATTATGTCTGGCGTATTTTGGAAAGCAAGGTAGGCGCTAAGAAATACCAAAATGTCGATCACCTCAAGCAAGCGCTTCGCCGGGAACGGGCCAAAATACCGCATGTTCGGGCATTGGCCGTTTGAAGGCCATAATTCGTGCCAAAGAGTGACCAATTCGAACAAATCTAAAATTGTTCTAATATTTGATGCTATTGCCGACAGTTTTTGCTTTCATTTAATCAAATTTAAAAAAAGATGTAAAAATTATGGCGTTTGACTTTGTTGCAGTTTTTTTTATTTCACCCTGTTTTTGAACAAAATTCGAACTTTAAGCTTACGAAAAGTACCAAAAATGGTACTAAATTTCTAAAATGGTTGCATTTTGTGTTATGTGAGGTAGAGCAAAAAACTTGAAATTTGGTAAAAGTATCAAGGTTAAAAAATAAATTTCATACATTAAGTGGCTTTGGAAATTTTTTTCTAAGTGTGTAAACTGTACTAAATGGTACTAAATTTCGAACAGTTTGATTTAAAGTGAACGGATGAATGTGAAATTTTCTATTGGGATTGGGTTTTGGAAATACGTAGTACAAGTGCACGAAAAGTACCAAATAGTACTATATTTGGTATAAAATGGTATTGAATCAACAGATAGTGCTTGAAATCTGAAATTTGGTATCAGGGTCGCTGTTCATGGGTAGCTTGGACATGTGGAAGTGGTTTGGAAAATGTGTACTATAATTGTACGAAAAGTACTGAATCGTACTATATTTGGTTGTGGGTGAAGGGATAAGGCTGGTATTCTTAAATTTGATATTGAGGTCCCTGGAATTGAGATATGGAGGTGATTTCGAAAAATGTGTACTATAGTAATTATGCAAAAAATACCAAGTAGTACAACATTTTTTATTGGGTGAAGGGATATAGCTGGAATCCTAAAATTTGATATTGAGGTCTCTTTTGCTATCTCACAGTGAGATATGGAGTTGGATTTGTAAATGTATACTGCAAGTGCACGAAAAGTACTAAATAGTACTATATTTGGTATAATCTCGTATTGGATAAACAGATAGTGCTTTTAATCTGAAATTTGGTATAAGAGCCGCTGTTCATGTGTAGCCTGGATATATGGAAGTGGTTTTAGAAATGCGTGTAAATGTAATTGTACGAAAAGTACTGAATGACACTATATTTGGTATGGGGTGAAGAGATATTGCTGGAATTCTTAAATTTGATATTTTGATTACTGATGGCATCTGCGTTTGAGATTATGTGGTAGTTTCGAATCGCGTCCTATATCTGTACGAAATATACTAAATGACACTAAATTTGGTATTGGGTGAAGAGACAGGTCTTTAATCCTCAAAGTTGATGTTGATGTATATCTTGGTATCTGGTATTGTCATATGAGGGTGGTCTTGGAGGCGTGTACTATAATTGTACGAAAGTTACTCAATTGTACTAAATTTTATATTGGATGAAAGAATAGTGCTGAAATCCAAAAATTTAATATACATGTCACTGTCGGTGTCTGCGGTTAAGATATGGAGGTGGTATAAGAAATTGTTCGAAGAGTACAAAGTTGTATTAAATTGGGTTTTGGGTGAACGGATAATGCTGGCATCCTCAAAATTGATATAGAGGTTTCTGTTGGCATGTGGGATTGTGATATGAAGGTGGTTTTGGAAATGTGCATTACAAGTGCAAAAAAAGTACTAAATAGTACTACATTTGGTACAACTTGGTATTGGATTAACAGATAGTGCTTGAAATTTGAAATTAAGTATCAAGGCCGCTGTTCATATTTAGTCTGGTTTCGGAAATGTGAAATAGAGCTGAAACCCTGAAATTTGATATTTTGATTACTAATGGTGTTTGAGATTTGGTGGTGGTTTGGAATTGCGTCCTATATTTGTACGAAAAGTATTTAATTATACTAAATTTGGTATTGGGTAAAGGGGTTGAGCTGGAATCCTCAAATTTGATATTGAGGTTTCTGTTGGTATCCAGAATTGAGATATGGAGGTTGTTTTGTAAATATGTTCTACAATTGTTCGAAAAATGCTAAGTGGTACTAAATTGGATATTGGGTGAAAGAATAGGACTGAAATTCTGAAATTTGATATTGAGTTCTCTGGAAGTATGTATCTGGGATTGAGATGTGGTAAATGGTACTAAATTTGGTAATGGGGGAAGTTACAGAGCTGAAATCCTAAATCCTATTGAAATAGTTTCGGGCGGGAATATTGCATGTGGGTTCATCGATGCAAAAAAAAAATGCCTGAGAGCAAAAAATAACTTTTTAGAAAAGAAAGAAAGCCGTAGAGACTGCATTCTTTATGTCATTCAACTCCCTTCATTTATTCCCATAAAACTCACTTTTTTACGTAAACTTCCCCCCCATTAATTAATTACCGTATTATTAAAATAAAAACATCGTTTGTACATTTGGTGCTAAAAATCTTGATTAACTTACAAAAATTTACTAACTAAAATATTTACTACTAAAACCTAAATTATAAATTAGAACTTTCGTTTGATTTAAAACATAACAATATTACGATTTTTTCTAGTCATCCATCAATTAAAAAATAAATAATGATAGTTAAAAAAATTGTTTTTATATTCATAAAAAAACTACTAAAATAATATATTAAAAATATTCCTATTAATTTGCTTTAAATTACAATTATAATGGTTGCTTTAAATTACAATTATTATGAGAATCTATCTCCATTACCTTCAGAACATTGTTCAACAATTTTCAAAAAATCTTTTTGTCAGTGTTGGTATTTTTCAACTTTTAAATATATACCATTTTGAGGTGGTCAAAACTATGGGATTTTCAGTTTTGTCGCAAAAACTAAAGGAAAATCTGCTCAAGAGCAGTATAAGGCCCACTGTCATTTGTAATTTTGCAAAACGCATTCCAATACAGTTTCGCGGACCCTCACCGAAACTCAAAAGAAATGAGCTATCCGAACGATCTGCGGCAAAGTTGTCCGGGTTAAAGGTTTCCGCTTGATGAAAATAATTTTCATCGCGTTGAAAACTATATGCGGGTATTATGACCATTTGTCCTTTGGCTATTATAATATCGGGATGTGTGGGTAGAGGGTAGTCTGCCGAACATTGGCGAATGATTAATGGCGAAACGGGATATAGACGAAGAATTTCTGAAATAAAATGAAAGAGAGAAGGAGAGAAGCAAACCGGTTAGATTAAATAAAAATAAGAAATATTTTAAAAATAATTTAGTTTGCAATTAATATAAGTATTCCGAACCAATTAAAGCGGTTCTTTTGGTTTTTGATATAAAATGCGTTTTTTAAACGCATATAAATATATAAATTATGCAAATAATATCTGATATATTTTTTTAATTAATATAAAAAAATTGATTATTATTTTTTATATCTATTATTCCAGAAGTTTTGCAAAATGTTTAAACAAATCAAGATTGGAAAGAAAGTTTGATATATGATGGTGGTTTTGAAAATGTGTATTAAGTGTGCGAACTACATTAAATGGTAGTAAATTTGACGGACGGTGTGAAGGCATGATACTGGAATTTTGAAATTTTGTATTGGGTCCCGGTTGGTGGTAGGTTTGTGACAATAAGGTGGTTTTGGAAATGTGTACCATAAGTACGCGAAAAGTACTAAATAGTACCATACAGCATGAGATAAAAAAACTGCAAAAAAGTCAAACGCCATAATTTTTAAAAAAAAGTTCGGAAATAAGTTCAAATTTTAGGATAAGTTTAGATTTGTGCGAATTGGTCACCTTTGGCTCGAATTATGACCTACAAACGGCCAATGAAATCGTCAGACGCTGCTCGAATGTTGTTCTTCAGTATTTTGACTCATGCACGGCGAAGCACTTGCTTGAGGTGATCGATACTTTGATATTTTTAGTGCCAAACTTTCTCTCCAAAATACTCCACACACACAATAGTATTGGTATCGGATTGGTATTTGGTGGCCATTGAGCGCTGGAAATGAAGCGAGGAACCTCATTTTGTAACTATTCTTGGGTGGCGCGTCCTAAGTGCGATGGTGCTGATTGCTGTTGGAATGTCCAAGGTCTGCGGCCAAAATGTTTGCGTGCCCAAGGCTTTAATACACCTTCCAGAATATTTTCGCGATAATATTTGGCATTTATTCTGATATCACGGTCGATTAATACGAGCGGAGAGCGACCATCGGCTGTTGTGGCGACCCACACCAAGTTTGTTTACAAACTGCTAGACAACGAATATTTTCTCATCGGAGAATACCAAGTTCGGCAGTTCACAACTTTCGGCCAAGCGAAGCAACTCTTTAGCTCTTTTGAGTCCATTTTCTTTCTGTTGCGGTGTAAGTTCTTGCACGTTTTTGGAATTTCAACGGCTTTAGCCCGAACTCATTTTTCAATATTTGCCGAATGGAATATTGTGATATGTTCAGCTCACAAGCCGTTTTTCGGCTACTGCGACGCGGATTTCGATTTAGTCGCTTCTTTATTTTTCGAACCATTTCTGTTGAATTCCATTACGAATAACTTTTTTTCTGGAAAATTCTCACCAAAATGTTTTGGTACGCTCGTAAACAATATAATGAGCTGTCACTGGAATAATTTCAACAGCTGTCGGACGAGTGGCTTAGAAATGACAGCAGTCTGAAGTTGGTTGCAGTTTTTTCATCCCACCTTGTATATATCGGAGCCGAGTTCCACAAAATGGAAACGTACGTCTCGAAATTCACTCCATTTTGGCTGATAGTAGCCATTAAGCCATTAGGCTTCATCCGTGGGCCAAACATATATTGCTTGCAAAATTTTATCTCAATCGGATAATAAATGCGACCTGCATTTTGTTTACAAGAATACATGGACGGACGGACTGACATGTATAAATCGACTCAGAAAGTAAGTAAAATACCGCTCACATAAAAACCTTTATTTGGGTGGTCCTGCATAAGTAATTTGTGTCATAGGCTGTAGTAACGGTTCCGAACTTTATATATGAAATTTGAAATAATTGCGGTGAATAATTTCGCAAGAATCATGAAAATACCGAATATCTGGTGGTAACGTTATAGAGGCGCTATACTGAAATGTGAACCTATTTAAACAATTCTCTTCTAAGGAACTCTTTGTGTGGAATTTCAGTCAATTCCATTGAAAATATTGGGGGTACCGTTATGTGGGGGCTATACGATATCGTGGACCGATATAGCCCATCTTCGAGCTTGAACTGCCCGCAGACAAAAGAGAGATCTGTGCAAAATTGTTGCTTCCTATCTTAATTCGTTTTGACTGTACCGTGATTACAACAGTCGGACGGACAGACAGGACTAAATCGTCTTAGACTCCAAACTATATTAATTTAATTCTACATACATACCTTTCAAAACTTGTTCCAAATATTTCATTTCACTCAAACACTCATAGGTCAGTTGATTATTGTGCCTATGCAGAACACTAATTATTTCCTCTCTCGCTGTCTTTTGAACCTCACCATTTCTCGCCAATTCATATAGGGTGTACGTCAAGGTAAACGCTGTACTTTCATAGCCAGCTTGATAGAATATCAACGTTTGAGCAGTGATTTCATTCAGCGTTAACTTTCTTCCAGACTTTTCAATCCGCATTTCATTCAAAATATCAATTATATAGTTATACTGGATTTTGGAATTTTTCCTAGACTCAAGAAGATCCTTGACGAATTTCGTATAGAACTTGATCATGTTTGCTGGTAAATATTGCAATTTCAGAAATCGTGCCACTTTGGGGAAGGCCAGTATTAGAAGTTTTTCCACAGTTCCATTACTCTCACCAATAAAGGTATTCTGTATCAGTTGATAGAATTGATCCTTGGGATTTTGCAGACTATGTGTCTGGCAACCAAAACCACAGGCACCAACAATTTCCAAGGTATAACGCAACATAAGATCCTTGATATCCAAAATGTTGTCACCGCCCATGATATCTTGCTCCATGACCTCGATCAATACGTTACTGGTTGTGATGAACGTTGTGAGCATTCGTTTTAATTTTCCACTTGTAAAGCTTGGCGAAAGATTTGTGCGAAAAACTTTCCACTTGTCATAGTCCAGGGTGAATAGATTACCCGTTAAATCGTCGGGATTATGATATAGACCACGATCGTGAAAGTAGGAAAAATCCTTGGTGAGAATACGTTTTGCCAGTTGTAGATCTGTTATCAGGGCTACAGGTTTCACAAAAATATATACTCCAAATAGAGGCAGGGTGGTTTGGCGAAATTCTTTGTAAAATTCATGGAAAATATCATTGAATGATCGTTGGTGTTTATATCCTTCCATGTTGCCCCACAACCAATGTTGTCTAGGACATGGAACATGACGTCTTTGCCAGTAACGAACTTTTCTCCAATACCCGAGTGTGAAACAAGTTAATGCTGCCAGCAAAAACAAAACGAATAGGAAGTACATCTTTGCGCGACGAGATCAAAACACTTTCTGTTTCATCGTTGTTGGAGATCAACTTAATTGCATTGTATTGATTTGATATTTCTTTGAATACCCTACACCGAACGGTGTGGTGAGAGTAGACAGAAGATATCGTTGATTGTTTTACTCGAATGTGATGAATGAAGGCAACGGGTGTCTAACCAGTTCTAATGCAGTTGACACAAATAAATTTGGGGTGGCATGTGTAGGAAAATTTCATCGGAGAGATATTGAGGCTAGTCCCACATGGGAAAAATTTTAATTTATTCGGCATGTGCATGAATATCGAATAGAAAATTTTATGAAGTCAACCAATTAAATAGCTGAAACTATGTGTGATTCGTTTATACCCAAAACTGCTATAGGATATTTGTGTGGAAAATTCCATAAATGGCTGAAAAAATATTTCGAACTTTTTATACCCTCCACCAAAAAAAGTATGGAGGGTATATTAAGTTCGTCATTCCGTTTGTAACTCATCGAAATAATCATTTTAGACCCAACAAAGTATATATATTCTTGATCAGCGTAAAATTCTAAGACGATTTAGCCCTGTCCGTCCGTCTGTCCGTCTGTTTTAATCACATTACAGTCTAAACGATTTAAGATAGGAAGCTAAAATTTTGCACAGATCTCTCTTTTGTCTGCAGGCAGATCAAGTTCGAAGATGGGCTATATCGGTCCACGATATCGTATAGCCCCCATATAACGGTACCCCCGGTATTCGGTTTTTTGATGATTTTAGCCACATTTTTCAATGGAAGTGTCTGAAATTCTACAAAAGGAGTCCCTTGTGGACATTTTACCCCCTCAAAAAGAATTGTCTATATAGGTCCACAATATCGTATATCCCCCATATAACTGTCCCCCCGATATTCGGTATTTTGATGATGTTAGCCACATTTTTCAATGGAATTGTCTTAAAATCCACACAAGTAGTTCCTTGTGAGTACTTTACCCCCTGAGAGAGAATTGTCTATACAGGTCCACGATATCGTATATCCCCCATATAACGGTACACCCGATATTCGGTATTTTGATGATTTTACCCACATTTTTCATCGGAATTGTCTGAAAATCCACACAAGGAGTTCCTTGTGGGTACTTTATACCTCGGCAGAGAATTATCTATATAGGTCCACCATTTCGTATAGCGCCCATATAACGGTACCCCCGATATTTTCTAGTTCGTTCCAAATGGTGGAGGGTATTCAAAGTTCGGCCCGGCCGAACTTACTGCTTTTTTACTTGTTATGCCTTCTTTTGTCTTTATAGGTCGTTGTGTATATAGGTCAAAGACGATGTATACCCCCCATACAACGGCATCAACCCTATGGAAAAGGATTGTCTATAGAGGTCCACCATATTGTATAGCCCCCTTACAACGGTACCTCCCGATATTCGCTATTTTGATGATTTTTACCGGAATTGTTTAAAATTTCGCATTTAAAGTTCGTAATGTATAGCCCCCATATATAGTGATACCTCCTGATATTCGATATTTTCAAATTTCGTATTTGAAGCTCGTAATGGGTATTACGACCTATGGGGCATTATTCACGGAATTTATTTCCAGTTTTATGATTTTTTACCAGAATTGTTTAAAATTTCGTTTTTCTAGTTCGTTATGAGTACTACAGCCTATGACAGAAAATATTATATGCAGGACCACGTCTTCGTATAGCCCCCATTTAACGTTTTTCCTACGAGCGGTTTTTTTCGACTGAATTTTTTGGGAAGTTCCTTCAGGAGAGTATTAAAAGTTCGACTCGGCCGAACTTACCTGCTCTTTAACTTGTTATACCCTCCACCTTGGAAAGGAGGGTATATTAACTTTGTCATTCCGTTTGTAACATCCCTAAATATTCGTTTAAGACCCCATAAAGTATATATATTCATAATCAGCATAAAATTCTAAGTCGATTTAACGATGTCCGTCTGTCTGTCTGTCTGTCCGTCTGTCTGTCTGTTGAAATCACGATACAGCCCACATTATTTGACGTAGAGCTCCAAAATTTAGCAGAGCTATTTGCATTGTGTCTAGGATGGTTGGTATTGAAAATGAGATATATCGGTCCACGTTCTGGTATAGTCCCCATATAACGGTACCTCCCGATATTCGGTATTTTGATGATTTATGCCACATTTTTTCACGGATTTGTCTTAAAATTGGTATTTGTAGGTCATAGCGGGTCCCTGAGCGTGTGGCAAAACATTGCATGTATAGGTCCACGTTGTGGTATAGCCCCCATATAAAGGTACCTCCCGATATTTAGTATTTTTGTTTTTTTTACCACATTTTTTCACCGATTTGTCTAAAAATTGGTATTTGTGGGTCATAATGGTTTCCAGCTCCGGTGGCGGAACATTGCATGTATGGGTCCATAATTTGGTATAGTCCCCATATAACGGTACCTCCCGATATTCGGTATTTTGATGATTTATGCCACATTTTTTCACGGATTTGTCTTAAAATTGGTATTTGTAGGTCATAGCGGGTCCCTGAGCGTGTGGCAAAACATTGCGTGTATGGGTCCACGTTGTGGTATAGCCCCCATATAAAGGTACCTCCCGATATTTAGTATTTTAGTTTTTTTACCACATTTTTTCACGGATTTGTCTGAAAATCGGTATTTGTTGGTCATAATGGGTTCCAGCTCCGGTGGCGAAACATTGTAATTATAGGTCCACGTTTTGGTATAGCCCCCATATAACGGTACCTCCCGATATTCGGTAATTTGATGATTTTTGCCACATTTTTTCAGGGATTTGTTCGAAAATTGGTATTTGTAGGTCATAGCGGGTCCCTGAGCGTGTGGCAAAACATTGCGTGTATGGGTCCACGTTGTGGTATAGCCCCCATATAAAGGTACCTCCCGATATTTAGTATTTTAGTTTTTTTACCACATTTTTTCACGGATTTGTCTGAAAATCGGTATTTGTTGGTCATAATGGGTTCCAGCTCCGGTGGCGAAACATTGTAATTATAGGTCCACGTTTTGGTATAGCCCCCATATAACGGTACCTCCCGATATTCGGTAATTTGATGATTTTTGCCACATTTTTTCAGGGATTTGTTCGAAAATTGGTATTTGTTGGTCATAATTGGTTCCAGCTTCGGTGGCGAAACATTGCATGCATGGGTCCATGATTTGATATAGCCCCCATATAACGGTACCTCCCGATATTCGGTATTTTGATGGTTTTTGCCACATTTTTTCACTGATTTGTCTAAAAATTGGTATTTGTGGGTCATAATGGGTTCCAGCTCCGGTGGCGAAACATTGTAATTATAGGTCCACGTTTTGCTATAGCCCCCATATATAACGGTACCTCCCCATAATCGGCATTTTAATGGTTTTTGCCACATTTCTTCTAATGTTTCTTTTACCCTAAGGTGGAGGGTATTAAAAGTTTGGCCCGGCCGAACTTAATGTTTTTTTACTTGTTTTTTTTTTCAATTCGTACTTTAAGGGCACGAAAGGTACTACAAATTGAATACTTTGTATTGACAAGTGGAGCTAGAATTCTAAAATTTGGAATTAGAGTCACAGATGTAGTGCAGGAAAAATGTACCAAACGGTTTTCGGAAATTCGAACTTTAAGGTTACGAAAAGTTCTAAAATGATATTAAAGTTTCATTTGGTTTTATGTCAACGGATAGAGCTAAAATTCGGTAGAAAAAAAAAATCAAGGTTAGAAAGTGTTTTTGATATATGAAGGTTATTTTGAAAATGTGCACTAAGTGTGCGAACTGTATTAAATGGTACTAAATTTGAAACAATGAACGATTTTAGGGTTTACATATGTTAGTCCATTTGTAGCAATGGTGCTACTAAAACCGGTATATTTCGAAATGAAAAAAAAAAAAAAAAAAAAAAAACATGAATAACCATTAAAATCTTGAAAGTCTAACAATTTAGAACTATATTTAAAGCTTTGATTAAAAAATTTTGTCAAACTGAACAAATTGTGAATTTAGAGTACTAAAAAGGCCTAACACTAATTTTTAGTTTGAATTAACATTTTTAGTGTGGACTTTTCTCTGACGAAGTGGCGGGCACTTTCTAGTGATTATATATTTAATATTCCAAAATAACCGGCTCTTAAATGTTTATAAATTTCTAACTTCCCTTTACATTTTTCTTGCATACTTTCCAATACCCTATAACAAACAATATAACTGACAAAATTCACCGGCCAACGTAGTGTAGCTACTCAACCCGAACGGACCCTATAGAAAGAGGAATAAACCAGAATATGTTTCCTTTGTTTGTTATTTTGCTTCACTGATCTAACAACAAACAAAAAGAGTTTATCAAAACAACAATAACATAGCAAGCAGTGATGCTGGACGATGTTTGCGACAAACCAAAATTAACGGTTGTTACTTCGGGAAAAAAGAGAACAAAAGTACCAACAACAATATGCAATATTACACTGTGCAAAAAAATATCACAAAAATTCAATAGATTAGATTATGAAATCTTAATCCGAAAATATAAAAAAAAAAATGGAAAAGGGTTCTTGGTCCCTCTATTTAGGTTATTGTGCTATATAAACTTCCAAAATGCCGATACACGTGTCTTCCTTGTGTCTTGAATAGATTATGAAAGGTCTTAAGGGGCCAAGAATCCCCTTCTATTTTTTTTCATATTTTTGGATATTGTGTCTTTGGTAATATTACTTTTAACTATTCGAGGATTACTCTGATCGATATTTTTTTCATTTTTTGTCATGAAATTCCACTATAGGTTCCAGAATATATTAAAGTCTTAATAATCCCATTGTGTGGCAATGGAATTTTTTACTGGGTATTCTCACATTAAAATCTCTTTCGAAATAAGTGTTATTAGACCCACTGTTTTTATGGGGAAAAATTAATATTTTATTATTTGTTGATCTTGATTTATGGTGGTGGGCTGTGACAGAAAGTTAAACGTTGAATGAACTTCGGGAAGTGTATCACTAAACGGGTTCGGGAATCAAAATCACAGTACAAGCAATTTATATTGAAACAAAAATAAAAATGAAAACAGTTAAATATATTTTCAAGCACAAAAA